TGAGTCTGTTTTTCTACGATTCTAGATTCTGATCCCAAATGAGTTGTTGACTCACTTTTCAACCCCTGGCAAGACCTTCTTGCACCTTCCTAATTCCAACTGGAAAATTAGGTAAAATAAAAACATGACCTCATTAAGAAACAGATGCCTTGATCTGAGCAGCACTTTCCCAAGTAAACATATGACAGAGCTCCCTGTGATTTTTGTGAGGAATGTAGTACTATGTTCCCTTGACCATTGGTCAGTTTTGGATCAAGAGACAAGAGCTTGAAATTCTACTTAATGTGCAGCGAGAGTTTAGAAAAATAACCCATTTCCTTCCTGCATTTAATATTGTAAGTCAGCCAGGGTTGTACAGTAATACCTGAAGTAAACAAGAAGCTGACCCAATAGCTTCCTTTAATTTACTATAATGTATCTTCAACTGGCTGTATGTTATCACAGGTTTCTACTGCCAGATTTACTTCTGAATTTAGGGTGGCAAAATGCTTTTTAAATCTGTACTGGGAGTGTCAAAGATGAAATTTATTTATTAAGATGTTACTCATTTGCCAATTAAAAAAAGAGGGTTATAACACTCAAAAATGATTAGTTAGGTGGGTAATGCTACTTCTGAGCTAAAAATGTAATTCAGATTCTTTCCCCTATAGGTTTTGTTTTGATGTACTGCATCTTTAAATTCATTCCCATATTACAGTTCCAATAAACTCCTTCCTGATGTTAATTTTGTGACAGAGACTCATTAGCAGGATTGTTATACTGTGTCATGATTCAGTATCTGTGAAGAATAGAACAGTTTCTTCTACCAAAGCACTTACAACTTAACACTGTTTATTTTTACTGATGATTTCAAACAACAAAATACCTATCCTGTCATTCTTGCCACCTTTCTGAAGCAGTTCTGGACCAGCAGTCCATGTTGAAGTGTGAGAATACCGAACATTTTCCCAACATCTTCCCCTAGAAAATACTTGTAGATTAGAAGGTTACATTATTTTTCAGAATTTTACTCTGACTTCTGTCTGTCACCACTCCTTTTTATTCCCTACTTAATAAATTAATACAGATGCCATCAGCAAGTAAATTTACTGGACGAGCTCATTTGCTTCTTAATTGCCTCAGGATTTTAGGTAAGAAGTTTTCAATTGCATCATCAAGAATTAAAAATACGCATTTTTAAAAAGTATTGCCAACAAAATTATCAGGCAAACCACTTTATGATGCTTTATAGGACTACTGATTACAAATGGTTCTAAAGACAAATTTTAATACTTCTCTAAAGACTTGAAATCTCTTTCAAACCCTAACAGAGAATGAATGCCCTTAAATCCATCCTGCTTTGTCTCTGAGTAGTTTTTATGTCTTGTTTTACTAACGAAACTTTCTCAAAAGTATTATTTCCCATTTCCAAATTGCTCTGGATCCTCTCTACATTTTCCCCTGCTACTCTCAGACTCTTGAGAAAGAAATATTTCTCCATCTCTCCAAGGAAAAGAATGGCCTTTTTAGGTGATTTTTTTAATCATTGTGTTTGCATGAATGAATAAAGATGTGTGGGGTGTTTTTTTTTTTTTTTTATACACTGGAGTACTATTCAGCCATACAGAAGGATGCATTTAAGACATTTGTAGCTACGTGGATGCATCTAGAGACCGCACTCTTTGGTGGGTTTCTTGATCCCAACCCTGTCTCCTCCAAGCCTTCATCCCCATTTAGCTTTGCTCTCTGTATTGACCTAAGACACCATTGCAGAATACAACAGGATGAAAACAACGAACTACTTTCAGTGTTGTAGGCCCTTTCTCCAAAACTTCTTCAGATACGTTTGGTTTTTGCAGGTGTTTTGTTTTGGTTTGGTTTTGGTTTGGTTTTTGTAGTCATTTTATCCTCTGGGGAATGAGTGCCTAAATTCCACCTGCTGCTAATGCTCAGAGACTGCTTGTTGCAAAGTCCTTATCTTCAGCCCACAGTGTTCATTTTAAATGTGCTTATGAATGATGTATGGACAAATGCTCCCTAAAAAGGCTAAAATCCATCTAGATGATCAGTGTAACTGTGACTCCCTTCCAAAACCATTTGAAATACATGGTTCTCAGCTGTGAAATTTTAAATTGCGAGACTCCAGACTTTCTTGGTTAGTAAGCTTTAGTGTCGTACTGTGTTGTCTTTCATGGAAGCACACCTTTAAAATACAATGTGCTCGTGTATTTTCCTTGTTCTTTTAGGGTTCAATGATATTGGTGAATTTCAGACTGATATTAGGTATTTTAGCACAACTGATCTGAGACTCTCATTTAAAATTGCCCCCCCCTTGTTATTCATAGCTTTTAGTATGTGTGTCACATTCCCCTGAAGAGCATCCAAGCACCCTTCACATCGATCTTGCCTTTCAATTCCCTCCTGCTCCTGAGGAGAAGTCACATGGGTCTGTTACTGGGCCCTGCTTCCAGCCACTCTGGAACCGGCTGCCTGCTTTGGAGGTGCTTGAATGTTTTTCCTGTTGCCCATCATACCTCATTACCCTTGAGAAACCATGCCTTCCCCAGCCCACAGACCTTCTTCATAGGAACAGAACTGGTCATTTTCCTTCCGAAGAATCAGTCTCTGTCTGTCTGATTTTGGTGACCTTGCACAATTAACATCTCCTTTTTCTCTACCTGAGGAAGCACTAGATTTTATGCATGCTCAAAATGATTGTTTTTCTGGTGGGAAAAAGTATATATATATATATATATATATATATATATATATATATTCAGTGACAAATTACATGGATAAAGTATATATATATATGGACAAAGTGTGTATATATATATATATATATATATATATATTCAGTGACAAATTACATGGATAAATTAATACATTTGGGAGCATGAAAATCACAAGATGAAGCCAAATATCATGCTAAAGGATTCACTAATTATCTCAAAAAGTGTTAATAGTACATTTTCTTTCAGACATAATTGAAATTTTAAAATCTACATTCAATTCTTTGCTGCTTTAAAGAAAAAAAAATCAGGGTACTCTTCTGAGCCCCTTAAAGTGTATTTGATGTTTGCCATATGGCCTGTATCTTAAATTAAAAATCTAAAATCTACTTTCCAAATGAAGTGAAAATCCCTTGATGCAATAATAAAAATGCATGTGGAAAGTGCTATTTATATCAATTTGGAGGAAAAGACACTACTCTGCTAAATACATGAGAATATCTTATTAAAGAGAATGTAAAAATCACATTTTAAAAATATATATATAAAACCTGATTTTAAATGCATATATGTTACAGCCATTAATTTGGGCCATTTTCCCTGTATGAAATTCTCACATAAACCCCACAGCATTAGCAGATAAAATTCAGAAATTGTAGAGCAGATTTTCAGCAAGTATTTGAAGAACTGTCGGTTTCAGTAGTTTTCTATGAGCTGTGAGCTCCCTAAAAATCACAGTATACCACTCAAAAACTGGATGAGTCCCTGCAAAAGTTCATTTATGTATTATTTGGGTCATAGTTTATAAACTATGGTGCATGTCCATGCCACTTACTAAATAAATGGTGAGTGGTAGTAGAAAATTTTCCCAGAGAGAAATTGTTAGCTTCATGAATACCGTTGATGTTAATAACCAAACAAATGGCACAAGTGTGTGGGGACTTCCAGGACTGCCAAACTCTAGTCACTTAGATTACTCACAGCAGCACCGAGCTGCTCAGTGAGCAGTCTGGTTATGAGGTGTTGGTTATTTAATAAGTTGGCCCAAAGTAGCTAGAATATCACATATAAGATTTCATCTCTGTGTTTTAATGGTGTGCACTGGACTCTTAATAGAATGGCCAGAGTTCTTGTGCCGGCATTCAGGAACCTGAGGAGAATACAGCAATCAGTTTGCTTTTTTCCAATGGTTTTTATATGATCTAAGAAAGCTTTTCTGTAAACAACACTAGAATGACTTGTCTCTTCACAGTTGCTATAAAATGCTCAGATTGCTGACCTGAGTCTTTTTAAAAATATCTTTTAGATATATTTGCTAATGCTATTTTATTCTTAGATTGTAGGGAAATTAATCATGGGTAATAAAAGGAACTTACTTGGGTTACAGCAAAGAGGTAACACAGACTGGGAGACAAAGTGCCTGACTGAGGGCTGGGGTTGCGGACAGCACACTGGAAAATCCTCCACAAACACAACCTGTCTGAGCACTTCTGCACACTCACTCACCTCTCAGTGTCTGTTTGCTCTTCGTTCTCTAACACTCCATGGTGGGTCTGTTGGTTTATTAGAAATTTCTTAAATATAGATGTGTGTATGTTCAAAATAAGCTGTTTACTAAATAACTAAAAGGATATGAAACAAGCTTACATTTGCATGGAGCTGAAAGGTTACCGATTCCATTTCTTTTTCTCTTCCTCCCCGAGTCATCTGATGTAACTATTTAACTTGACCAAAAAAATAGAAATCACTGACATTTAGAACACATCTATTCAATGCCTGTGACTTGTGTGCCAGTAAGATAGACTAGAAAGCTTACCACAGTGAATGGCAGTGGGTGCTCTTCGATCTCAGCGGGCATAGGTGGATCAGAAGAAGCAGAAAATTAGACAAACAAAATAATATGTGGTAAGGTCGATGACATAATCTCGCAGTTGCCTCACAAAGTCTCAATTCTAAATCAGGCTTTGTGTCCACATGCCAATGAGCATATGTGACCCAGATGAATTATGGGAAAAATCCACTTCTTACTTTAATTTTTCAATTTTCAGCCAAATGTTACCCCTACAGAACTGTTCCAATAACTTCAGGCAGAGTTTATTTCCCTGGGAATCCAATCTCTGTCTGAATGAGAAGGCAGTTAGAATGAACTCATCCATAATTAAGGGGCAAAAAAAGTCAAGTGCTAACTAACACAATTGTCAGGCAGAAATCGAAACCCACATTCACCCATTATTTGCTTCCTTTATTGTCTCTCTTATGTGCATTTTCTCTGTGGTCTGTCTCCCTCAGGGCATCTACTTGGCCTCTCTCATGATGATTCCAAATTCTGTGAGGAGAATTTTGGTTTGACGGAAGATAAGCGCTTAATGTCTTCCATCTTAACCAGCATTGATGCTTCAAAACCTTGGTCGAAATGCACCTCAGCCACTATGACCGAATTCCTGGACGATGGCCATGGTATGTATCACCAGGAGCACTCGGGCTCAGAACAGCAGTTGGGGATTCTTGGCAGCTTCATTTCCCACCTTTTCGATAGCATTCATCTTGCCTCCAGACAATGGTTGAGACAGGGAAAGAAAAGGAGCAATGCAAACTTACTGTTTCTATGTGATGCCAACGTCCTTGGTGGCATTACAGCGGTAGTATGTTTTGAATGGAACGATTCAAGACACAAACAATGTGGGAGACCACACAGAGTGCCTAGCCAGTGCCCGGAAAACCTGGCTTTTATTCCCTCTTTCACCACTGGCTTCCTGTGAGCACTTTGGCACACATCTTTGTTTGCCTGCTCTTAATATAAGTCTCAGAATTACTTGAGTTATTTGTCGCCCACTACAGGGAGGTGGCTAAGGTGTTGGTGACAATTCTACCAGATTCTCTTCTTGGTAACATCAGTCCAGGAAAGGAAGCTTTCTAGGTTTTCACTGACTGGAAGAATTCGACTTCATTCTGACAGCAGATTCTCCTAAAAGGAACAAAACTGCAGAACAGGAATAGCACTTTAAAAATGTCAGAGAAAGACCTTGGACTTGTCCTTTAGAGACAGTTTCAGAATATAGCTTTCTCTACTCAATGCTGTACTGCTAGGATTAGCTCTGCAAGTTATATAAAAATGCAAAGGAAGTCACAATGTTTAGAAATAGTAGGCCCTGGTCCCTAATTACTTTTTGAAACAGGTGATTGCACATTTCATAGCATCTTTTATTATTTTAAAATAATAGGAACCCAGGAGGGCAGAAAGGTCACAGTTGAAAAAGATCTACATTAATCACATTGTTCCTTTCTCATTTTACAGAAAATGACATTCTTTTTTGTCATCTAAAAATCTGTCTTCCTAAAACTAGTAATTAAATTGAATATGAAAGAAATTCTGCTCATAATTTTCTCATTACATTTTCTTATATGTGTGGTTCAAAGGGCTGTGATAATTACCTTTCTCAGTTCCACAATGCCTATGACTTAATATTTTCACAATGTCTTAGTGTGTTAGGCATGTTGAACTTTGTCCTCACAGGAATGATATATTCATTTCAGACAAAAAGAAGTTCAGCTACAGAATTTTTTAATATCACACCCCCTAAAGATTTTCATTAGTCATTTTTATTGCTTAGTGATGAACTAGTAAGGGTTTCCCTGCTACTACTATTGATATTTTCTATCTCTAAAAGTAACCTAGGGCCAATGTGGTTTAAAATTACTCTCCATATAAAGTAAGTGCCTTTTGTTGTTCAAAAGAATCTCCAAATATCTTGAAGTCTTAGAACTTATACTAGGAACCAATGTACTATGCCTTTCCTTTAACTAATAAAAAATGTTAATTTACATTTAATTCAATTTACAGTGCTGATTAAATGCTGGTAAGTCCTTAAATCAATGTTTGCTTTATGTATCTAACTGCCTTGATCAAATCAATGTGTAATAAAGTGTTTCTCCACTGGAACCTTAACTCTTCACTCCTAAAATTACCTTTACTTTTATATATTTTTCAAATTTTCTGAACATCGAATAACCTTAGTATTTTATTTCAAAATCACACATTACACATTCCAAGGGGTTGAGCTAAATCTTGAATCATTAAATGTATGGATTTAGTTGCTAAGGCAGCAAACACTTACGACTAAAATGGAATCAGATTTTTTTCCTGTATACGTATTAGGTCAATGACTTAAAATGCTGCTTAGAATTTTTTTCTTGTTGCCATAATTTTACAGTGGTTTGTTTCATTTTGTGAAATTTATGACCTTATTTTCTATGCAATACTTTGAGCATTGTTTCCACTTCATAACATTTTTACTCTATTTAAAGAAGTTCATACTTTATTTAAAGAAGTTCTGATTAGAAAAACAAATTTATAACAAGTTTATGTATTTTCTAAACTTATCTCTATCCCTGTTCCAAAGGACTCATGACAAGAAGCAACTAGGCACATTATTTGAATGTGAATAGGTCTTATCCATTTGTATTGATAAAAACTATTCAAATTTCATATATATATATATATATATATATAAAATATATATTATACATGTATTATACATATATATATTATTATAATATATATATTCTGATAATTGAAGTTGGTAATATGTATAACCAAATTCAATTATGAGAATTCTTTAGGCAGAACATGTACTATTTATTCATTTATTTACTAATCAATCTAATCACCTCTAAAATCTGTCATTTTTAAATAGACTGGATTTTCTTGGACAGATGTTTGTTTTAACCATACTAAAATATCTATTTTATAAGTCTCTCATAAAATGCTTAATTTCCAAAAATTGAAAAAAAAAAAAAAAAGTGATCTGAAACTGACAAAGCTCAGTTGTGTCTCCTTTCAAAATAGCATCCACAGATACTGAGTTGAAACTGGTACTTTTCTGTAGCACTGTTGTTGAGTTGTGAATTTAAAGACTTTAATGGTTTAAAAAAAATTAAGACCAAAAAACTAAGTCAGTGTAGGTGAAAAGTTGGCCATAGAACTAGTAAACACGATTTTGAGAGATCTGAGGTTCTCTCATTTTAACAAGAAAGCCCGAGATGATGGAAAAACAAAGAAATGCATGTTTTCTCCAAGAGTGACAGATTTTGGGAAACCACGTCATAAAACCTTGTCACTCAGGAAACTACTCGGCGGCCCACTTAGACCCTACTTATTCATATTTTACAGTGCTGCTCTTTTTCCTTCCTAAGTAATAAAATAGTCATGGGGGTGAGGAGGGCTTCAGACAGATCCACTGATGGCAGGAAATGATATTGCTTGACCGCAAGAGAGAAGCCATACAAGTTGTAAAATACTGCCCTAAAACATAAACAGTATAGCGGTCTGGCACTGTTTTCCAAAATTCAAAAAGCCTATCACACTATTACTAGCCCTAAAGATACCTGCATATTTCAACATGGTACAATAATTCATACATAGAAGAAGTGATTTTCCACAGAACGTGGTGGCGCATGCCTATAATCCTAGCACTCAGGAGGCTGAGGCAGGAGGATCACTGCAAGTTCCAGGCCAACCTGTGGTACAAAGTGAGGACAAGGCCAGCCTGAATTACACTATGAAACTGTCTCAAAAAGACCAAAAAAAAAAAAAAAAAAAAAAAGATTTTCAGGTAAGGAAGGTTAAATGGTGACACTAACATAAAGGCATCAAAGTCATTATTATGTTTAAGGGAGTATGCTCACAAAATTTGTGTAACTTTTTGAACCTACCTAAACAGTATTTTATCTGGAAAATCCATTTATGCATTATATCTTCTCCTTCTCCTTCCTGCATCCAGCAGCATTGGAAAGATGAGATCTTAAAGTAAAATTAAATTCAAAGCATTTGATGTGTTTTTAAAATTATTAGCTTTAAGTAGTTGGACATTTGTAGCCCTTGACCACTGCCAAATTTAAATTCACTGGAACTGAGCACTTATTTAGATCCAGCAAGAAATACGTAGCAATTAGGTAATGGTTGAGAAGTCAGTGGTGTGCTCACTCAGAAGTAACTGTTTCTGGAGATTTGTGATTCAGAAAGAAGTATCCATGTGTCACAGGATTGCCTTTCTCCTGGCTGAGGTACTTGGAGAAATTCTGCAGTGTTTATACAAGTAAGCTGTAGGCAAGCAGGCCAGGAGTGTGGTCTTCTAAACTAAAGGTAAGCACTGGCAGATAAATTGTGCAGCGACAGCAGGTTATTGAATTTCCTTTCTCAAACGCTTAATAACCTTGAAGCCAATAAAGATAGCCGCATGAGTTGTATCCTGAGTGCACGGTGCGCAGTGATGAGGAAGGACGGGGAAAAAATGGGGAAGCAAGGAAGGAAGGAAGGAAGGAAGGAAGGAAGGAAGGAGCAACTTCACAATTTGTGAAACAGCAAAGTGAAAAAAAAAATGTTCACAGAAAAGCCCTCATAGAATTTCAGACCAGCGTAAATTTAAAACTATGTGAGAGACGCCAGCTAAAAGTCAAGCTTTTTGGAGGTAAGAAAGGGTAAAGAGAGGACCTAAGGGAAAGGGCTTACAGGAATTAAAGATGATTAAGAATGACACATGCATGTCCAGTTGGGTTCCACTTAGATTTTAAGTATTTTATAGCTTCAGGTTTAGAATTAGGCTCCATAATGATTTACTGTCTTTATTTCTCAGCAAGAACCCGCCATGGCTTACAGGTGTCTATACCTATTCCATTGTAAAAATCACAATTTATCATAAAAATGAAGTCAGTGGACATGTTTCAGGGTAAACAAGAATCAGTAGAAGACCTAAAACTTAGAATATGGGTGATGAATCAGTGGCAGTCCGTTAGTGAAAGAAACCAGTTTATTTTAAGCAAACAGAGGTCATCTCCATATGACTTTTAGGGAAATAAGCATCATTGAGCAGATATACCTAATTTTTAATAGGAAAACAAATGGGTTGTTTGCTTTTTAAAATGTACTGAGTGAAGCTTTGTAAAGAGATGCCGCATCTCCAGGTCTCTTTGTTGTAGTCAGATTTCAAACTATGTTTTGTATTTCTTTTCACTCATCGGTTATTGAGATAAAATGCTGGTCAGTAGTTTTCTATGCATGGTGAGTGGGTGAGTTCTTTTGACTCAGGATAAATGTACTCATACATGGCAAAGACTTCCCAGCTAATATTTAGTTCCTCAGTCCTGTGATCTGTGCTTTTTAGTAAAATTTGTTCAAGTTTCTTAAAACAGCACTTTTGAAGAATTGGAAAGCTTCCTTGCTGACTCAGACTTGTTGATGCGCTTCTAACCTTAGCAACTTGCCTTAGCAAGAGCTCCTGCCTGTTTATGGAGCAGTGGTGATAAGTTCTTCGTGGCATTCTGAAGTGCCTAATCTTGCTCTCTCTATAAATGAGGCTTAGTGAGGACTTACTACAATTTTTTTCTATTCACTTGAGTTTGATGTTTTTCTTTTAACTTGATGTTTTCCTCCTGAGGTCTCTTTGGCAGAATACTTGTTACTAATGCTTTTTCTGGCTTGTCTTAAGAAGCTTTACCTCTTCAAACACCCTGGCTCAGAAGTTAAATAGGAACTTGGGTCTTTATTCATTTTCATATAATGCCTTCATCACACATGGACAAGTGGGTGTAATGTGTTCACTTTGAAGAAACTTGACTGTGGTTGTAAAAACATTTTCAGTACACTTAAAACGTGCATTATAGTTTGTTTCTTAGTGAAAAGTAGGGACTTGAATACACAGTTTTCTTCTACTGAACGCAAAGAATAATACATCTAAAAATCTGTTAAACAGCCTGGACAAAAAAAGCAACTATAATTGTTTCACATTTTTTTATCTCTTTGCATCTTGTTAGCTAGGATTATTTTTAGAGTGTCATAATTAGAAAGAAACATTTTAGTATCTTGAAAATAAATTAGAGAAAAGTTAACCAGCTGACCAGAAGTACTCAGCCATGTAGTATTTCATCAGGGTTGGACTTGAGGTCATGGTTTTACCATGAGTCATGATAGTCCCTATTTAAAGGATTTTTACACATACCTGCCCTCCAGCAAAAGAATCAGACAGATTAAACAGATGTTCACAAGCCTGAGGCAATGTGGTAAATGAAGAGAAGGGAGAGTTTGAGCACGAAGCCCTCGTGTTTTGTTATGTCACTATGGATAAATGATCCAATCTATCTTTTGTTGTCTTCAGTTCCTTTTCTGTAGAACAAAATAAGCAAATCTATCTTATAGGCTTTTCATGCATTACGAAAGCTGGTACACGTTAAGAACTGAGAATAGCATGTAACTGTGACACATGCATTATTCTTACTATTGTTAAAATCAGTGCATGAATCCTGAAAACAAGTAAACAAGATTAAACCCCAGACACTAATAGAAAATATGCATGCATGGATGTGTGATAGAAGGAATAGGCAGGGATTCCTAAGGAAGGGATTCCTTGGGGAGAAGCACATTTGAGCCTCTGACTTTGCATTGTGGGCTCCCCACCTGATTCCTGTCCCCATACACACAGCCCTTACAGTCCCGTAAGACACCAACCTCTACTAACAGATGTACTCAGAATACCCAACATGCACCACTTCCATGAAAGAACAGCTACAAAAGGAAGAAAAAGGAGAAGACTATAAACACTGTCTGTCCTAGTCCTTTCTTCTCCTCTCCTATCACTCCTTTATTTATTTGTTTGTTTATTTTTCTACCAGTAATCAAATCCAGGCCTTTGTGCTTGCCAGGCAGGGGCTGTGCCACTGAGCTACATTTATGGCCCACTCCTTTATTCTGTAAATTTTGAAAAGCTTTTTATTAAAATCAGTCTAGGAGAAATATTTTATTCGGTCTATCCCCTTCACTTTAGTCAGGAGCTGTGAGGTATAGATCGGGGTCATTTTCCTGTATTCTTGATACATAGAATGTGTTCTAGAGTATCGTAGGTGCTGAGCAAATGCTCACTCAGGAAATCCAAGAGTAAATGAAATACCACCTTGGTTATTGTGTATGGCATTAGTGCAAAGGAGACATGTGCTAAGCACATGTGGAAAAGAATAATTTGGAAATATTAGCTGAGATACAGAGTATCTAGAATACTCTGTTTCTCAAAGTTGGGGAGGAAGAGAATTGTTATTGTAAATTCCACTATCGCTTGTCCTCTGGGTCCATCTGAATGTTTTTTGGTAAATTAGCAAGGTGGCTGTTTTTGTAGCTAAGTATTAAACAATAATTCCTTACAATCATACTAATTCCCACCCTATAGATACACCAGAATGCATCAACCATGCAGAATGCTGGAGTCTACCCACCTTGCCCTACACACATCATCTTTAGGGCATCACAGTGCAGACTTAGGGGTGCTTTGTGCTTCAGCATCACCGAGAGCATTTCATTTTTAAGAGCTTTTCCTTAGCATATGTTTGTTATATACAATGAATGCGTTCATTGTGGGAATTGGTACACACATATCACACCACAATCCTTTGTAACCTTCTTTTGCCTCCTCCCCAGGTTCCTTTCCCATCCCCACCAAGTCTCTTTCCTATCATCCATCTTGTTTTAATCTTTCTTTATACTTGGGAACTCTCATATACGAGGAACCATTCCTCACTTAACCTTCTGTGATTTATTTCACATTTTCAGATCTCTGATCTTGGTCTGAAGCCTAAACCCACAGCTGTGGTCAATCTCGGTTATTCTTTTAGGTAACTGTTTGCTAGACGTGCCGCGGAAGCAGATCCCAAGCCCAGAGGAGCTGCCGGGACAGACCTATGATGCCACGCAGCAGTGCAACCTGACCTTCGGGCCTGAATACTCTGTGTGTCCCGGCATGGATGTGTGCGCCCGGCTGTGGTGTGCCGTGGTGCGCCAGGGCCAGATGGTGTGTCTGACCAAGAAGCTGCCAGCCGTGGAAGGGACGCCCTGCGGGAAGGGGAGAATCTGCCTGCAGGGCAAGTGCGTGGACAAAACCAAGAAGAAATACTACTCAGTAAGTGATCACCCAAAGCCTGAAAGTCATGTGGCACTGTCATGGGAAGGCTTCTTTTCCTAGGAAAAACATTTGCCTTCTAGGGATCCAGGAAAGCTTCATCTTTTACCCATAGTTGCCATTCTCAGTAATCGAATCCTGGGGAATGTACAGGTAATAGGGATTTCTTCATATCACTGCCTTCCACAAATACACATGCACCCCAGAGTCTGATGGAGACCCCAAGTAGGGTCCTAGCAATCGTCTTTGGAAGTTCACTTTTAAACTCCTCTTAAGTTATCAGAGCATATCTATTTAAATAAACAGCTTGGGATATAGCTCAGCTGCACAAGCAAGTACTTGTCTGGCAAACTTGAGGTCATGAGTTCAATCCCCAGTACCAAATAAATAAGTAAATAAATTGAACAAGAAAGTAAGTAGCAGAGCTTATGTTAGAGTTCTTGTAATTATTTGACAGCCTCCTCTATGACCATATTTTACCGTGATTCCAAGTTCATCTACCTTTGGGAGCTACAATAAACTCCAGGGAAGTATTTCTACTGCTAAATGCACAGTCGAACTTCAGGTCAGTATCTGACTCCTCAATCTTCAAGGCCAGAACAGACTGTTCACTGTCATTTGCAAGATTTTCCAGACCCCTAAAATTCAAGGCTGCCTTGAGCTCCTTGGCCATGTCTTTCAGGCTGTCACCAGCTCAGGCATGATCAGACGCCCAACACCAGCAGCCAGGGGCAGTTCCGCACATGTTGTATGGGAAAAATTGTTTGAAATATGTTGCCTTTGGGAATGTTAGCTTCCTCTTGGAAGGTTTCCAGAAGAATAGTCTTGGAGTGGCACCCAGGTCATGTTTTCCCTGTGGGGGTGTGTGGAAGTAGGATACAGATGCCCTTTAGCATGTCACATCTAATTAGGAATTACGCCAAGCCAAGCTCAAAGACATTAGTATATGTACTAGGGTCTATCACAGGCAGAATGTGTGATGTTAACAAAGGAACTGCAGAACTTTAAGGCTAGAGAGTACATGATGCAGACACAATCCGATAGTGTTTGCCATCATGCAGACCATTAGCATTATGTATTTCATTAAAGATCCAAGTCACAAAGAGTCAACATGGTTCGGTGATAGGGAACAGACTTGACTGTATCAGAAAGCATAATTCAAATGACCGAGAGAAAATAAGAGGAAATCTTTGTGAAGGAGTGTCTAGGGTGATTCTTTGGTACTGGGAATGGGGTCCAGGGAAAAATGCATTGCTTTAGAATTGCAAATGTGCTGTAATTCCAGAGCATGACCTTGCTAGGCTCAGTGAAGACTGAGCTGCATCTGTCCTGAAGTTCCCGCTGTATCATCTCATGCAAGTGATTTCCAGAAGTACTATACAATTTGGATGTTTTCTTCCTCTTTGGGTTAAACTGGATTCTGTTTTCTATTTCAGACATCAAGTCACGGGAACTGGGGTTCTTGGGGGCCCTGGGGCCAGTGCTCTCGCTCATGTGGGGGTGGCGTACAGTTTGCCTACCGCCACTGCAATAACCCTGCACCCAGAAACAGTGGCCGCTACTGCACGGGGAAGAGGGCCATCTACCGATCCTGCAGTGTCACGCCCTGCCCACCAAATGGTACGCTGCTCTCTAGGGTACTTTTTTTCTCATTACTGAGACAAAATACCTGACACACAAAATGAGGGAAGGAGGGTTTATTTAGTTTACAGTTGATGGAGGTTTCAGTCCATAATCTGTTGGCTCCAAGGCAGGGTGAGGTGGTTGAGGGACAATATGGAGGCTGCACCGGATACCAGAAGCAACAGGATTAAAAGGGCACAAAGAGAGGAAACATGGAAAGAAGACTCTTCTGTCGTGTATATTGCAGGTAGACCACGCCCACTTGGGTGTGGCCCTCACAGCCATAATCCCAGTGCTGAACCATGAGTCACTCACTAAGTCTAGAAGCCCATCTCCCTGACTGCATGAAGCTTTGGGGAGATATCCAGATTCAAACACCAACAGCTGCTCCCAAGAGTCCATAACCACCATGAAACACATGTAATTTGTGTCCTAGCAGAATTAAATAGGGAAGGCTGGAAAAATAGTGTTTATCCTATTATTACACAGCCCCAGAAATGTTCAAACCAATAACAAATATGTGAGTGGTTTTTAAATTATTATAGAAAAATGTATTCAGAGAATTAGAAGAAAAACTCAAATTCTTTTCAACTCCATATCAATAAAATCCTTCTGTGATTGAAAAGAATAGCAACCTTCTTTTAAAATTATAATTTAGTTGCAGAGGAAATAAAGTATTCATGTAATGTGTTTTGTTCCCTAGGTAAATCTTTTCGTCATGAGCAGTGTGAGGCTAAAAATGGCTATCAGTCTGATGCAAAAGGAGTCAAAACGTTCGTGGAGTGGGTTCCCAAGTATGCTGGAGTCCTGCCGGGTGATGTGTGCAAACTGACCTGCAGAGCCAAGGGTACAGGCTACTATGTGGTCTTTTCTCCAAAGGTAACAACACCCTTACTGGCCAGAAGCAAGGAGCATCCTCAGTGAAAATTATTTAGTAAAAGGAAGCCTGCGGATGCCGAATACAAACAGTCATTATTTGGGGGGTGGCTGGATTGGGGAAGGTTTTTATTTTCATCTCTATAATTTCCATTTTTTCAAACTTTATACAATGAATAATTTAAAACAGAACTGAACAAGTAAATGTTTTAAAAAGCTATTTTTGAAAAGCATAACTCACTGTCAAGGAAGGTAAAATGTGACCTTAACTTCAAAATAGCCAAGAAAACAACCAGTGTGTCTTAGGCACATTTGCTGAAGGAACTATAAGAATTTTTGCTGAATTATAAAGATGGGAGGAAGCCCACCACCTCTGATGCACGCTTTCGAATAAGTCTTTTTTTTTTTTTGTCTTTTTCCTTTTTATCGGTATTGGGGATCGAACTCACGACTGCCTGCTTGCAAGGCAGGCGCTTATGCCACTGAGCTAAATCCCCAGCCCCCCAAATAAGTCTTGAACCTTTAATGTGAATGATATCTCATTCCTTATTTTTCACAGAATAGCATTTTCTAAATATACCACAGACTTTGTTTTTTGTTTTTGTTTTTGAATTGTTGGGCCTCAGTTGGAAAAGACTAAATTTTTAACTTTCTAACAGATCCACATTTAAAACACTTCTGAAACTGGCCTTTAGATATATATGTTGTTGAAAAATAAGCTATTATTTAACTTATATAATTCTTAAACATTGTATTACACCTTGGAATACTACATTTTCATTAAAAGTATTACAGAGAGATAAAAACAACATTTTGAAATAACACCATCTGGGGAACTGTTAATCTATAGTAGTATTTTTTACTTCAGTTTACATACACACACACACACGCACACACGCACGCACACACACAGCCCTTCACTCACATTTACACGTATGAAAATAGAGTTTTGTATGCACACAAATCAAAAAATTCATATTTATGTTACATAGACTCACTTGGGCAAGCCACAAATGTTTATAGTTACATGCTATTTTAACTAGCTTTTCAACAACCTATACTGATTTCTATATTTGAAATATATTCAATGTCCTTCAGTAGGTACTTTTCTGATCCCTCAAGTCTATTTTTTACTGTTACCTGTTTGTTCCTATTTCATTTTTTAACAGTGCAACACACAATGGAGAATGTTTTTCCACCTATGACACGATTTGAATAACTTCAATTTTCAACCTATTGCTATAATAACCTTTATGCAACAAAGAAGAATCTCTGTGACCTTAAACCTTCTATGTTCAGCTGTTTACAGGAGTGACAGCCTCATATATTAAGTGGTTCTGATCGGTGTGAAAAACTACAGTGCAGTGATGCCTCAGTTCATGAGTGCTTTAATTTGCAAAAACCTTGATCCACAAACAGAAGCCTTTTGCAAAATTTTGTTTTTGTTTACAAACTGCATCAGGTGACCATGGTCATCTTTATCACACAAGCATAATCGTGGGCATCTTTTTCCAAACTTGTAGAACAAATTAAGTTTGTAAACCGAGGTACCACTGAAATGCTGTGGGAACTTGTTATGTGGTCAAAAACAGAGATTAGTACCTTGAAGTACTTAACATATTGGGAAGTAAGTTCAAGGAAAGGTGCATAACCAAAACATCTCCAAATCTTCCTGCTGCTGTAAGAAAAATATTTTTCCAGTTAAATGTTTGTGAAAACTAAGTGGTTGATTGGTGACTGCTTGCTCTTTTTCAATGTATGATTTAATCCCATCAAACTCAAATTCGAGCTTGCTAACTTACCAAACGAACAAGTACTGATGCCCAGATGTGCTCCACTGCTGAGGTGCCTGTTGTGTTTCAGGTGACCGATGGGACCGAATGCAGACCATACAGTAATTCTGTCTGTGTGAGAGGGAAATGTGTGCGCACTGGCTGTGATGGAATCATTGGATCAAAGCTGCAATATGACAAATGTGGAGTATGTGGCGGGGACAACTCCAGTTGTACAAAGGTTATTGGAACCTTCAATAAAAAAAGGTAATGTGAGCAAATCCCTGCCCTTCTACGAATTGAATGAAGCTTTAAATGCAAACTTGATACCAGAGGACTCATATTACCTCGTCAGCTCTCTGTAGGAGACAGTCTAACATTGCTCAAGGAGCATATTGTGAATCTGAGAACAGAGGAGAGAAGATGAATTAAACTTTGGTGGCTCAGTGGATACTTATCAACTGCTACAGCTCAGGGCTCAAGGTCTTAGAGAGTCAGACAACTAAAAGGGGAGTCACTGTAGTCATCTCTTGAAGACTAATTATTTGTAAAGTATAATTTATGGAAGGATGGCTGGTAGATTGTGTTCTTCTTGAAAAAACTTTTCCTCTTGAAAAAAAATGTCAGTTAATTACAGCGGCATGAGTAATAGTCCTGTTTTAGAGAGCGCTATTCTGGTTTATAACTACACTATAAGGAAATAAACACAGCAGTGTCTCCTGCTTCTCCAGTTCTGCTTGAAATGCATAAGGGCATAAATAGCCAATTTCTGGCATACAATATAATGCTATCATATGATAGCTGAGCTGGCTAGAAGACCTGATGGAATATAGAATTATTTTTCTTGTTTGCAAAGAAAGTCATATTGAATGGTATGGGTTGAGTCTCTCTGTGTTCAGAATGTAGGTGGGGAGTTATCTTTAATTTGAAAATGATACACAAACCAGATAACAATAAGAAATTACTAAAATATTAAACAATGCAAAGAACTAAAAATTTTCTTTCATATGATTTAAGAATGTATGACTAAAACATGTATTTTGAGTTAAGTATGGTTTACCAATCTTAGTTGCTATTATTTGCATAATTGTATGGGGCCAGGCCTATAAAAAAGTAACAGAAGAAGGAAGGAAGGAAGGGAGGGAGGTAAAGAGGGAGAGAGGGGAAATGGAGGGAAGGGATCGAGAAAGAAAAGGGGAGAGAAAAAAGGGAGGAAGGAGCAGGAAAGTAAAGAGAAAAGGAAGAAAACAGGAAAGGAAGGCAGGAAGTCTGTGAACTTAGGAATAAAATTACCTTTAAAATTATACCTGAAAAATAATAAAATAAAATTATACCTTATTTACTATCTGCTATACATTCTCCTACCAAAGGTTAAAAAGCATTTGTAAAAATGTTAACTAGAATATTTTAAATTTTTCTGTTGACAATTAATATCTCTACCTTTAATGTCGCATGAACAGATGAAAAATTCATGATAGAGGCGTGTGATATGTAACACAATCCCTTCAAGTTGATTATAGTATTTGGTTAAATGTGGGAACTGGAATGCCCACGTTTGGTAGACGATTCTGTTTCACACACTTCAAACTGCACAAGCAGTGGTATTTCTGTTTGAGTATTTAAGAAAATAAAGTAAATATAGTATAGGGGAACATCATTGTGAAATTTCTTATAAAGGCAAATATTTTGCCAACAGTGTTACTTCTTCATACAGGTATAATCTTTTGGTGCCTAGTTAGCATTTCTGTCCTAGAATTTGCCCCAAGTTTAGAGATAGTTGAAATGATTATACCTTGGCCCATTACGCAGAGTAGACAATGGATCTTTAGATTCTATCCTATCTGTCACCTACCCTAACACCTTATTCAGTTTATGAAAAGGTCACATGGAGGCAAAGCATTCAAGAAAATTTAATAAAACCTCTATGATAATACTAAGTTCTCGTTACCCATTTACTCAGTTTTACCTTACAGTCAGTGTGTTACCTCATGGCACCCAGAGTTCCAGGAGAAATAGAAGCAGAGCCTCTACTTTGCCTCCTGACAAACAACTACTAAATCTGGGCTCTTGAACAACAGTTTCAAAAGTGCTCTTACCTCCTCACTCTGAAAGATGGGGGTTCAGGGGTCTGGGTTTGACCCAGCCTTGAGAATTTCTAAAAGACACCCAGATAATTCCAATATGCAGGCAAACTTAAGAAACATCAATCATTTCTCTGTTATTAAATAAAGATACATTTTTTTTGGAGGTTCACACTTCCATGTACCTCATTTTATGCCAAAAATAACATAAAGTAGCTTTATGATATGGTAGTATTGATATATATGGTAATAGAATATAATTTGTTAAACGAAGTTGGTATAAATTTTTGAAATAAACGTAGGTTGTCATCACCCTATTTTCGAGCATCTCGATAAAATTGTGTACAGTCTGATAACCTAGCTGCAATTTTATTTTGTCACACGAAAATTTAATTTAAAGCCAACTTAATCTCTTAAATATATTAAGATGTCATATTAAGATGAGGTTTTTCTGGAGAGTTACTATTTGTTTATCTATTGCAGTGTTTACTGATTTTCTCTTCCTCTTTTTCTCCTTCTCCCTCTTTTAACTCCTTTCTACTCTCTGCTCTTTGTGAACATTTCTGCCTCCAGTAAGGGTTACACTGATGTTGTAAGGATCCCTGAAGGGGCAACGCACATAAAAGTCCGGCAGTTCAAAGCCAAAGACCAGACTAGATTCACTGCCTACTTAGCCTTGAAAAAGAAAAACGGTGAGTATCTTATCAATGGGAAGTACATGATCTCCACGTCCGAGACCATCATCGACATCAATGGCACAGTCATGAACTACAGCGGCTGGAGCCACCGGGATGACTTCTTGCATGGCATGGGCTACGCGGCCACAAAAGAAATTCTGATTGTGCAGATTCTCGCTACAGATCCGACTAAGGCATTAGATGTCCGCTACAGTTTTTTTGTTCCCAAGAAGTCCACTCCAGCAGTAAACTCTGTCACTAACCACGCCAGCAATAAAGTGGGACTGCACACCCCACAGCTACAGTGGGTGACAGGCCCGTGGCTCGCCTGTTCAAGGACCTGTGACACAGGCTGGCACACAAGGACGGTGCAGTGCCAGGATGGAAACCGGAAGCTGGCAAAGGGTTGTCTTCTCTCCCAGAGGCCTTCTGCATTTAAACAGTGCTTGCTGAAGAAATGTTAGCCCGCGACTATGCTCTTATGCACAAAGATACCTGGAGGATGTGTCACGGATACAGTTGTGATGAACAAGAGGTCTACTCCATGCACAGAAAGTCACGTTGCAGCGTCATTGTCACCAAGAGTCAAATTATGGGCAGAATCTGCTCTCTGTGACCAAAAGAAGTTGTGTGCACTGCTTGATGTGACAATGGTGACCTTGAAATATAGAAAAACTTGGGAGTTATTTAACATCCCCTGGGCCTGCAAGAACAAAAAGTACAGACATAAAATATTAATGAATGTAGAATCAGGGGACATTTGAAGGTAGCAGAACAATCTCCCCTTTGTCACCTACCTCTTATAGAATGTCTTCAAAGGCATTATCATCAGTTTCACCCATGATACACGGTAGTTTATTTTTACTGTTTGTAAGTGCATTTTCCCTTGGTATGTCACTTTATATCACTTGGTTCTATTTATATTTGTGTGTGTGTGTGTGTGTGTGTGTGTTTCTATCAAAAAGTGTTTGACCAAAGTAGGTCTACAGCTATTTCAACTCCCAGTTTCCAGAAAGAGCTGTGGATATTTTACTGGAAATTAAGAACTTGCTGCTGTTTTAGTAAGATTTAGTATATTTTCTGACTACAAGAGACAAAATCTATTCAAAAAGCATTTTAACAGCAAGCATTTTCTGAGAAATTCTGAAAAGAAAAAACAACTCTCAGTGTATTTAGTCATTTAAATGTATACCTGGGTCCATCTACCTAATCCTGTGCTGCTTGTATTTTTTTTTTCCAGGCAGCCAGCCAGATTAACATACCAATAGAATGTAGAAATAGTGTTTGTTTGTCTCTCTCTGTGTGTGTGTGTGTGTGTGTGTGTGTGTGTGTGTGTGAACAGTATTCAAGAGTAAAAATTAATTTCCTTGTGTTGAAATTTTAAAGAAAAAAATATATGTCACCATGTTTTCAATTTGTATTTTCACCACTGCTTGCTCTTTCCATGGCTCTGAACTGCGATCTTACAATGTGTAATATACATACAGAACACACAGCACAGAGATTTCTGTTACATCCAACACCTTCAACATTGGTATACCTCTTACCAGCAAGCCTTTAAAATGTTTGTTTTTGCTTGTTTGTCTGTTTCATTTAAGGTTCTGAAAATCTACAGTGTTTTGTACTTCTTTTTTGGCTTGGTTTAATATGAAAGGTCACTTGGTAATAAGCCACATCTAGAAGAGGTAATTATCATTAATGTAGTTAATATTTTTTAAAAAGTGGTTAACATTAGTAAGCTGTTTCCACACCACAGGCAATAATTTCTTAATTTTAATATAAGGAATTCCTGCTGTATGAAAGATTTTCCCACTTGAAAAGTGTTAGACTCTACCAGTACATGAGTGAGCGATAAAAATGTTATGATTTTCAGGAAGTCTATTGCATTTATTTACATATCTTATCTAGATAGGATATATAATGTTGAAGAATCAGGCATTGAAAATGTTTTATAATCACATGCATGAAAATTTATTTTTAGATTGTAAACTGCATTATCCACATGCCCGTAATTCAGAAAATCAAAGATGTTCAGGCTATAAGGATTTATTTTTCTTTGTGACATAGTAAAAAGCCAGTCATTTTATATAAAATTTTATAAACCATACCAAATGTGCCTATTGTTAAAGATATAAATATAAGAATTTTAGGGAATCATTGATTGGGTTCCATTAAACTTAAGAGAATTTATTTTTAGTATAAGCTATTTTTATTATAAAAGAATTATGTAATTGGTATCACTATATCACATTAATTCATTCATTTCAGGGGCCATGAAAACATATTTTTCTGATTTTAAATATTTTCTTAAGAAATTATTTTTTAAGAGAGATAACTGTCTTATAAAACCACTAATCGTTTTTTGGGTTTGCATAGAATGGTTTTGCTTCAGATGTAGTAATTTTATCTTAAGGAGCTATCATTTCAAGAATTGAACCTGCACAAGACCAGTAACCTAGATTTGATGGAGACCACCAGATAACAAGGCCAAGGACAGGGAACAAAATAGTCAGTTTGCTCAAGAAAAAAAAAATTCTTTTAAATTCACACTGACATTTGACTGTGAGAATGAAATTAATGCAAAGTTCAATATTACTTTATCCAGTTTTGAAATTATTTTAATCAAGTATTCAAATGTGACAAAATTCATTTTCATCTTTCATGATTATATTTCCAGCAACATTAAAACTTATTGAAGAGTAAACATGGTTGTTTCCTACTCTACTTTACCATATTATATTCATAGTTTTATAATAGTATTATCAATGATTCACTGTTTCCCAAATTCATGAAGTTCTATACTCCTCACTGAAACAATCCTAGAACATTTAGAATAAATTAGTCACTACTCAGGTTTTTTAAGTTTTTAAGTTTTAAGTCTCCTCTTTTTATTTTTTAAACAAGTTTCACTGCATTGACTGAGGAATGTATGTCTCAACTCCTGAGAAAATTTGAATAAACTGAAAACTGAAATTCAGAGAAATTGAATGTTTAGTAGCTAAAAAAAAATAATGGTGATGAGCAAAAGAAAACTGCTGTAGGACTATGATTCAGTCAAGTCTGATTTAATACTGTCTTTCACATTTCTGTATCCGCATTTTGAATTTAAAAAAAAAAAAAGTTCTAGGATTCACGATGTTGAAAAGAGAAAAAGAAGTTTGTTTAAAATGCTCAGGTTTGTAAGAATTTAATCTCATTTGCATAAGTTAGCATTCCATATCAAGTTTTTTTGAGTCTCAAGGGAGCCCAGAAGAAAGTATCAGTTATCTCTTCTAGAATAGAAAAGGTTAAATTAAGCCCTGCCTTGTGGGTCAGAAGTATAAGAACATTGTTGCAATTTATTTAACAAATTCAATTTCCTTTGCCTTCCTGTGGAAACAGTTTTATCCCATTAAACTAAGAATTAAGGGATGAATCACAAACAAAAAAAGTTGCAGCACTGAAGAATAAGTAATTTATTGTTTTTGCAACTTGTATGTGAATTTGTGTGACAAAATTATTTATTCTTATTTAACAAAATATGTGCAAATTCTTCTATATTTAAAGCGTTCTCTTATTGTCCTACTTTATAATTTATGCTTCATGTTTGTGTATAAAGTACAGTTTTGTGTGTTTACATAATATACAGCACTGGTTGCTTTTGAATTTTTTATACTGAAAGCTTTCTGTGCAAATCAAGTGTATGTATATATTCTTATATTCCCATGTTTCCTTCTTCTGATACTATCATTCTTCTTTCCAAGGAAATTTTAAATTTAATCTTTCCTGATCAGTAGTGTTCATTACCTGTAGCCACATTAATAGGTCTTTTATATGTCATTAACACTAATGTTTTCTAGTCACAGATAAGAAAAAAATGCTGATTGAATCAAACAAGATGCAAGCTGTAAATGTGAGCATACAGATAGCCTAGAACCGAGGCGGTGAATCTATGGCCCGCGTGCCACAGCAGGCTCTTTGCATCACTGAAAGTTCTCAAAAGTTCATCATCCCTGAACTAGAAGCTTTCCATAGAAGCTAAGACACATTAAAGAAACAGGTTCATTCACATGAGGGATACACACAAAGCCCTGTTGATGTGCCATCTGACGGTCCTTTAGCACACAACTTTTGAGCGGTAAGGATAGCAATGAAAGCAAAGCTGGTCTTTTGCAGTGTGAGAAGCACTGCCTGAAATTGGTATCATTTAGTCTGTAGTGTCTATAGCATTCTGTAGATGAGCACCAAAACATTGGATTTCTGTGATTTAGGTGCCAGTGATTTTAAACATTAATCACATGAAATATTATTATTTTATAATTCTACGTCATCGAAAGCTACAATTATCTTGGGGAGAGGCAGCAGCAAGACTCTGAAAACACTACCTTGCCTCTGACAGATTCCCTAGTAAGGCAAAGCATCCTTGGACTTACAGCCCAATCCGTGGGCTCTATCTCTGCTTCTGCTTCCCTCCCTGACTCTTGGCTAACTGTGGCAGTTGAACAGTTGAGGTGATGACAGCAGTCAGATTGAGAAGTTTGGGACTTGTCCTATGGCTTTGTAAAATAAGGTTGAATTTAATAGGCCCAAATCTTGCTAGTAATCTAGGTCTGAATGTGAAATTTCATTGGCCAAATGGGTGGATATTAGTAAATCCTTGCAATTAAATTTGAGTCCAAATACCTTATTTTCATACAGTTCAAAGCTATGAATAAATAAAATAACCATGAGTATAGAAGTACATATAAGAAACAAGTTCTAGATGTTTTGTCATTTAGACTCAAAGAAAAGGAATTTATGTTTTCCTATTATTTTTCTCATTTGCCAACAACCTATAGTTTTATATTATCAGTGGGAGATCAACTGACCTGACTACTCTGCTGAAATATTTTCCTAACACCCATCTGCTAGTCTGAATTAGAAAATAACTTTTTAGGTTATATCATTATGAAACACATCAGTCTACAGTGCATAATTAAAGTAGGAGAAAATTACAGTTCAATTAAAGTAGGAGAAAATAGTGGAATGTGGAACCAGGTATTAGCCAAAAGAATAGGAATACAAGATGGTCACATCAGCAAAGCACTCATCTAGTAAATGCGTGGTGACATAGCATAACTCTACTGCAGGTTTTGTGGGGAAGCTGAAGGGCTATGTGGTTAAAACTTGTTTGTTTTGAGCACAGAACTTTGGCATGTCCAGTAGCTATCCCAGTGAACCGCACCTTACTCACTTCCTAGCACTTTAGCATAACTTTGCTGTCTCTAATCCTTATCTTGCGGCTCCACTAACAAGTCCTTATGGACTGCATAGGTCTAACAAAAAGATAAACAGTGGTCCATCTTTCTATAATGTATTGCCACATCAGTGATCCAAAATCCAATAGTGTAAGTAAAACTGTCATTTATCAATAAAATGGGGCAGTTTTTTCATTTTTCTCTGGCATATCCAATGAAGAACTGTTACTGAGGTGCTAATGTCTTCCATGGTCAACTGTTGAATATAATATTTCTACTTTTATTTTTATGGGATCTTACAATTTGCAAGAAAGACCTCTGAGGTTTTGCGAAGCCTCAGCATAATTCCATACTCAAAGTTCAGGAAGTAAATATAACCAATGATCATTCCAACCAACAGTATGTGACATAGACTACAAGAACATCTGAAGCTATTTAAGTTGTCATCAAAACTCGAAGTCTGTCCAGTCAAAATCATATTTAAATGAGTCCCATTTCAGAATTTTTAAACCATCAATGTTACATTCAAACTTTGATATATTCACCCTAATTTGTGTTAACTTTGTGATATTTTATGCTTTTGGTAAACAGTGACTATATCTCAACTTTTTCTTTAGCAATTCACCTTGTATTAGAAACACATTTTCTACACTAAGAATGTCCATATTTAGAAGTCCATATTGTGTAACTGCAAGTAGACTTTTGATTACAAACTATATACTCTTAATAATATTTTTCCATCGTACATTCAGGCATGACATAAATATTTTTGGTTTATCTTGCTGCGATTCAAATTGCCAAATATTCCTTATGTTTTAGTCTTGACCTGTTAGTGGAGACCACCCACATAAATGGACACTGCAGATAAACAGATTACAGAAATGTGTTCCAGCTAACAATAGCAGTGGCACAAATCATTTGATTTGAGTAAAGACAAGTAATAAATCTAAGTAGATATGGTTGAGATTCTTAAGTGTTGAAATATGCTTTCATTGTTAGGGAAAAATAATGAAGATTTAAATGTACATAAGATATAAAATTGTAAGCTGCTTATTATCCTCAGTTTTCCAGAAGTGATCACATATGATGCAGTAGAAGAGACCAAAAGTCTTAGAAAAACCAAAATGGGTTTTGTTTAAATGTTTCTTTAGCTATGGCAACTGTCAGATCTAAATCAACTACTTCTAGCATTGCTTTATCTTGTAGCCTGCATTCCACAACAGCTCTGTTATTCATAAACCACTCGAACTGAGCCGTTTGGAACCTGTCTCTTCTGTAATATTTTTCATTAAGGAGCAATATCTTATTTTGTAAAGTATTTTCCTGTGTGTGACTTAAAACTGTAAAACTAAATGTTGGTTTTGTGGTTTCAGTGGACACAATAAATACAGATTGTAAACTAGGTTAAGTATGTATGCATATAATATGTTTTAGAGTTGGAAACTATTGTCTATTTATTTTCAATTTTCTTAAAATATGGGTATCGCAAAAGGGGTCTCAAAGAAATCCTGGACTCTATGGGCTGGGGATTTAGCTCAGCAGCATAAGTGCCTGCCTGGCAAGCACGAGGTTGTGAGTTCAATATCCAGTACCAAAAAAGAAAAAGAAAATCCTACACTCTCTATAACTTCTATCACCCATCATTCACTTTGGCATAGGCAGTATTATCTCAAAGTACAGTGAAACTATTACTTCAAGTTCTTTGTACTAGATTATCTCTCCCTGAAGTCTACCCATTTGGAAATTTGGATGTTACATTGTGAACAACAAATAATAGAATTTGCATAATTTTCATTTTGATATATAAACTTATCCCAGATATAAAATTAAATAACTAACATACTAATACTAGCCAACAACTTTTTTTCAAATTGAGATTCTTTAGCAATTCCATTTTTTTTTTCTTTTTGGTAACAGACATAGCATTAAATGTCCTCAGATCACTGATTCCTTTTAAAGACCCAAATAACAACTGTTTAGTATAAGATACAAACACTGAATTTCATTCTTGTTGCTAGTATTATTTTAGAATTATAGTTCTTCATATTTTCTCCTATGTACTTTTTTAATTTAAAAAGAAAAAAGAAAGGAAATAAAAAACCAGTAAAAGGGTACAAGTAATACAGAATTTCAAGAAAAAAAATATACAGTAAGAAATCACTAGTTAATAGGTTACATATTGTCATCTTAGAAACAGTTGTCCAAATTATAAAATTAAAGCATGTAAAGTGGACATTCATACAGTGAGATTGGAGACAGTTACGTTCAATGATCCAGCAAAGGCTCAGTAATACGGTTTTCCATCCTACACACTCAAACATACATGCAGTTATATCCCTTAGACCACCTTCCTTTCCTCTCTTTTTTACAATAACAATTACACTTTTTGGGTTTTATTACTCCCACAGTTCTTATTACTTTTTTTGAAGAGAATAAAACCAAACATGACTAAACAAAACAGAATCAGAACAGAAGGATGGGATTAGTACATGATGCAAAAATAGAACACCTGGTGATCAAAAATGGTTACCATTGTGCCTCTTGCTATTTTTAAAAGAGTTTCCTATATCATCAGGTATAATATAATAGATCAAAACAGTATAGAACGAGACCAATAAAACCTACACTGGAGATCTTATCCTATGTACTTTTTAAAGAAGTGATTAAAAATATGTATTTTTAAAGGATGGTATACAAACTGCATGATCAGAACATGGCTGTGACTGGTTGATCATCTCATGTCAGGCTCTTTGCTAACCACCTCACAAAATGTTTACTGTAGGTTTCTCTCTATCACTTTGGGAGGCTGGCAGTGACATTCCAGTATTGCAGATGACAGTCACAATATGACAGTCATTAGTGATCACCTGGCTTTCACCAAGTGCCAAGCACTGTTGTAAGTAGGTATTTATTGCAGTCATTATCATCTATAGACACTGTCTTAAGTCCTTGACTGTGAGTCTGGGGAAGCAATTGCGAGGTGAACGGAGGGCTCTGTGAGGATTGGAGGAGTGGAGGGGAAAGTGTTTGGATTCTCTAATGTGTGGATTTCCAAGTACAGCAAGAGATATCCTGAAATTCCAATGGAAGTGGCAAGGAAACTATGGGGAAACAGGCCAACAGGAAAGATAGAGTCAAGAACTAAGAATGGAACAGAGGACTATTGTTCAAAGAGAGAGGAGAGAGACTTTAGTTCGAGAACACTTACATTATTAGAAAAAGTACTACTAATGAGCTGTTTCAATGTCAAAGATATTCTGAGGGGTAGTTTTAAATTAGGAGTAGAATGGGGGAAGGAATTGGTTAGAAATGGACGTAGACATATTTGTGAAGTCCAAATCATCATCAAAATCTAGATTCTGTTGCATCTCTCTAGATATGTACATTATTGACTGTTTGTGTGTTCAACTCTCCTTATGTTTTCACACAGAATAAATGATCACAGCCCATCCCAAGCCCATGAATTCTACAGATTTGAACTTTCATATCTGTGAAAGATCCTGAAAACAAATTGCCTAGTATGCATTTATATAGACACGAGTGAGACGGAAAAGTAGCTTAAAAAATCTGTGGCATTTCTACTACGTAGGTAAAGCACATTGAATCCTAGAATGATTAACCATTTAAGACACACCCATTTGGGCTGGAAGAAAATAACAGACTTGAGATACAAGACCACTATCTAACATATATTTACAACATCAGCGATGTAGATTTCTCTCGCTTCTACATGCCTGCCAAGCCCTGTGTTATCCTTCATCTGGATTTGAAGTAAAAGTAAAATCCTTTTGTTGCTGCTGTTATTACTTATGTTTATAAACATCTAAATCTTGGCGAACAAAGAGGTTTATTTCTTAGTCACTTGTAAGTAGAGTCATTCCAAAAAATATCTTTGCTATCCTTATAATATACACAGATTTACAAATGTACCTATCTGAACATGTATCTTTATATTCATAACTATATCACTACAGGCTCATAGGAGAATGTGTATCCTGTAACGATTGGTCAACAAGTAAAAATGAGTGAATAAATAATGAATGCATCAATGCCAACACATGCAGATAATCATTACAGAGGAGTTTAGGAAATAATATTGAGCTATTGGCAGTAGGTTAAATGTACTAGTGAGAATAACACTTTAAAAAAATTTTTTTTAAAAATCAAGCCACAGATTAGGGAAGATGGGCACCAAATAGATTGGTAAAAATGTGAATACTTGATTCCAAGATAAGTTTTTAGTTTTGAGGATAAAACTCTGTAGGAAACAGAATTCTAGAGGTATCCTCCAAAATTCTCATGCCTATATTACCCAGTCAAACACCAATCTAGGTACTGCTGTGAAAGCATTGAGCAGTTAGAATTAATGTTACTAAACAATAAACCTTAAAACAGGCACACTACCCTGAATTAACTGAGAAGGCCCAATGTAATCAAAAAATTCTAAAAAGCAGAAAAAAAAAAAGTCAAAAGGAGAAATCAGAGAAATTTCAAGCATGAAAAGGACGCCATGGTTCATTGACAACTTGGACCATGTAGAAAGGAAGCCATGAGCCAGAGAATACAGGCAGTGTCCAAAAGATGAGAATGTTCTCTGGCTGACAGCCAGCAAAGACACAGGGACCTTAGCTTTGCGACTGCAAGAAACAAGATTCCAGTAAAAAAAAAAAAAAAAAAAAGGAAATTCGGCACAGTTTGGATACGATTTTCCAAAGTGCATTGCAAACTTAATTCCCAGGGCAAGATGTTGAGTGTAGAACATTAAAAGGTGATTGCGTCATGAAGGCTGTGCTGGTATGAATATATTCATTTGGTTATCTAGAGAGAGTGTTAGTTATCTCTAGAATGGCTTATGGTTTTCATATAGGTGATTTCAGTGCTCTCTCTTCCTCCCTCCCACCTTCCCTGCCTCTTTCTCTTTCTCTCTCTCTCTCTCTCTCTCTCTCTCTCTCTCTCTCTCTCTCTCTCCTTCACCTGCTTCCATGTTATGGCACAGCAAGAAGTTGCCTGTTGCCTGCCTCTCAACTTTGGATTTCAAAGCTTCCCAAACTGTGACAAATAAATTTATTTTCTTGATAAGTTACCCAGGTTGTGTATACTGTTGTAGAAACACAAAGCCGTCTAAGACAAAATTGAAATCAGTTTCATTCTCAAAACCTCCAGAAAACAAAGAACAGCCTGGGATTTAGCTCAGTGGGCAAGCGTGAGGTCCTGAGTTCCATTCCTGGTACCAAAAAAAAAAAAAAAAAAAAGGAAAACAAAGAACACATGCCCAGTGATATTTCGATTTCAGGCTTGGAAAACCCAGAGCAAGTCCTGGCTGAGCCATGCTGAGCCTGAACTGTGATGTAATGAAGGGTTCCATGCTGCTGAGTGGTTAGCATTTGTATGTCACCAGTTAAAGAATGAAGACATAGGTAAACACAGGTTAAGATGTCGACCTAGAGTAGAATATCAGAAAGGCTGTCGTGTTAGATCCACAGGCAAAACTCACAAATTTAAGATCCAGTTACTAGTGTTATGATATAATAAAGAACACAAGAGATATAGAATCAGATTTACTAGATTTGGCATGAAAGCTTGAATTAAAACCATATTCTAATTTTGATACACAGTCACTTTAGGATTTACACTTTGGCTCAAAGATGAGGTTAGCTCAAATCTCAGCACACACTGAGAATCTACAGCCACAGTGAAAAGACTAACCAAAACAAGGCTGAACATAGGGACAAGAAAAAAGGTGTTGATAGACTTAGTAATCTATTACCTAGGATAAAATGCATCTTAAAAGTCTTGTGTTGACAGTAAACAAGGGTTTTGATAAAATAAGATAAAAGTTTGATGAAAACGTTCTGATTAATGCTGTCAGTCAACTCCCCAAAGTTTGAGGTTTTATCCCATGGTTCCATGTGTCAAAGTTCAGCTGAGTTCTACATCTGCTGCACATGTCACCTGGACCAGAGGATCCAAACAGCCTCATTTAGAGGGGACACCTATGGTCAGTCTCCTCTCTGTCTTCGTGTAGGTAGATCAGCACAAGGTCTGTTCAGCAGGGCCCTCAATTTTCTGACAAAGCAACTCAAGTTCCCAAGAGTAGCTATTTCCAGAGAATCAAGTGAAATCTATGACATTTTTACATTCCACACTTAGGAACATATCTTTTAAATATACTAATTAGAAATTCTACAACATGTGAATCAGCAGCAATCTCAATGCTCCTTCCATGATTCATCCAGAGGATGAAAGGTTATAAAATATGGTACTCTTTGTACTTTTATTGTCAGCTTTCTAAAGTCAATTTTCCCTCATTAGCATATCATTTCTATGCACACACACACACACACACACACACACACACACACATACACACACACGTTCAATTGATACTTTCACTCCAGAAAC